CTTTTCGCTGTGTGGAAAAGAGCACATTCTGGGTCCAGCACAGGTGTGGGCTGGCCCCAGAATGTTGCGCACAACGGCCTACTGACCGTGCGCAATAATGGTGTTCCGGAGGGTACACTGTAAAGAATTTCCTTGTAGAAAAACAGTAAAAAGCTGGCAAATATGGTTCCAGGAATTAATTGCTAATTTTAACGGTTATATACTGTTTCACTGAATCACATTATGCCTTTGTGATTTCAGGATTTAACTGTGTGTTCCTGTTAATTCAAATACAACAAAAACAGCATTATAATGTGAATGTAGTATCATTACACCATGACTGTTTCTGTTTCTAATTAGTTTCATTGAACAAAAAAACTACACAGTTTTTTTGGGCGGCACAGTGGCTGAGTGGATAGCACTCTCGCCTCTCAGCAAGAAGGTCCTGGGTTCGAATCCCGGTTGGACCAGGGCCTTTCTGAGTGGAGTTTGCATGTTCTCCCCGTGTCTGCGTAGGTTTCCTCCAGGTACTCCAGTTTCCCCTACCACTAAAAATATGTCCAATAGTTCTGGCATGCGCCTCCTGTACTGGCGACCCTGCTCCCATCTCTGTGTGGAGTGAGAGACAAATGCCCAAAATTAACAATTGTAAACCGCTTTGAGACTCAGATCTGCAGTGAAAAGGCGGTATATAAATAAAAACTTACTTACTTACTTACTTACAGTTTGTTTTCCTTTAATGAACACAACTTTTCAATTATTTTTTTACATCTTCAGTTTATACAAGAAAGTAGTTGAAATCTTTACTTCTATAACATGCTTAACGCAAAAGCATCATTTTAACAAAAGCAGGAGTGTACACCTCTTACACTCATGGTTGATGTTAAATTACGGCAATCACATTGTGATTTTATGGTATGTAACGTTTTTTGTAATCACGTTATAATTGTGGTAATAAAATGCCACTGGATGTTTTTTAACCAATTTATACTTAAATTTGCATGTTTGAATTGTTTTTCAAAATAACATTTCTTTAATGTTGAATTTTCATTGTAATTTTACAGAAATTTGTTACAGTGTAGGTTAGCGTGAGTTGTTGTCCTGGAAGGTAATCTATGTTCCTGCCCTTTCTAATGTTTCATTTCCAGGCAGGGTACAAGATCGGGACGTGACCCCCCTGCCATCTTGCCTTTCTGCATTTACTTTCCTCGTTACTACGACATCTGTACAAATGGGAGGTTATTGTGTGACTACATATTGTATGACTCATAAACTGATCATTTTCATTGTGACACTTTAAACTAACAAGAGAGAAAGAAAATGGATATAATAAATCTGCTCACTCATGGAACATGCCTCTTCTTATACGAACTCACCTGTGTGCCTTAGGGCGTTTATTTTTTTATTTTTGGGTCTAAAATAAACCAGCGTTGCTGGTTTATTTTATGTTAGTGCACCGAATGTGAGCCCATGACCCTCGTCATGCTACATACAGCTTCAGTCCTGGATCTACAGTCTCAGTCCTTAGCAGAGGGAAGTCTAGACAACAGGATGAAATGTACACATTTAGAAAATCTGTCAACCACGGACAGAATGGTGCAACCCTCAGATGGTGCCTTGCCTGTTACAAAATCCACAACTTCCAAGGACGATGAGGAATGGGAGGTCAGCGGAGCAAGCCAGCTGGAGCACGGTGAGAAGACTTGCTGCGGGCGCAAACTGAGCAGGCAAAAACATATTTGTTAGTATCAGTAGAAATAGAGGGCCAACAGAAGTGTTGGGCTTCTGTTGGACAAGGGCCAGAGTGCAGTGAAATCCAGGGTGGCAAGCCAACTTCGAGTCATGGCCCCACTACAAGAGGGCAAGATGGTTTCCTCACATTTATCCTCAAAACGTCAGGCTTTGTATTTCTGGAACCTGAACGGTAGGTAAGGGTGAGGTTAAATCGTCCCCAAAAAGTTCCCATCGAGCCTGGCGGGCGTTCAACCTGTGGGCAGAACAAAGGTATGACAAATATTTATGGTCAGTCCATACCACAAAAGGCTGATCTGCACTGACGAGAAAAGAAGGCACAGGGTTGGAGCACCTTTTTCACAAAAGCCCCGATGGAAATCCTGGTCTTATTCTTTAATTTGTCATTAATGATTTAAGAATCAAAATGAGACCTTTTTTTAATCCTGCGGCCAAAAGTTACTTTACCAATGAGAATGGCTCATAGCGGTGAGTTCAGGCAACCCAAATCACAGACATCCAAATAAAAACAATAACAAGATTTAAAGGCTGTAAAACTAATTTTGAAATCCAAATATCTCGGCTGAACTTCTGTTATCAGTTAAAGAAGTATTCGATAAGTGCATGGTTTATTAATTATGACAGATTAGGGCTATTTAATGATGACTTGACTTGAACATTTTACATATTGCTACTTTAAGTAAATTTACAAGACTAATGTGGATGTACAAAATAGATATTTCCAAATGAAAATCATTTATAATTTTTTGCCAACAAAGAAAATGTGAAAGATATGAAATCTGTCTGAATCTGATGAATGCAGGTTTTGTAAAACAGTTAGCATTTGTTTTGCTATTGCTATACCGTAACATTGTTTTGGTTCGGAATGGAATGTGTCAGGAAATTGGTTTGTGTTTTTAAGGCTGATTTTGAAACAGTTTTGTTGGGGGATTTGGAACATGGTAACGACTTTGAGAATTTAGTTTTCGCTCTGGGGAAGCACTTTATTTTTAAGCCTACAATTTTGCTTTCACTTACTATTCAGTATTTCAAAAGGTGGCTCTATCAATCTTCAATTTGGGAAGAATATATGATTGAAACTGATTATGAAGGGAAAAAATGCACTAAAAGAAAATATGTTTTTAATTGTTCGGGACACAATTAACTTTTGATAATTGTCAGTGGTCCTGACCTAAGGACCTGTATGTGTTTTGCTGAATTAGATGTGCACATGCATGCTTTGTAATAACTTATTTATTTCTGTTTTTGTGTATTTCTTTTTTTCTATTTTCATTTAATTATTATTATTATCATTTTTCTTTCCATTTTTTTGTCTTGTCTTTGTGTTTGTCTGTTCTGTTTTGGGGTTGTACTTTTGTGTTTTTGTTTTATGTTGTGTTGTTTTTGTCTGTTTTGTTGTCTGTAATAAAATAAAATGAAAATAAGAAATAAAAAAACTGAGTAGTGGAATCAGGATGAGAGAGGACAGGTGCAGAACAAATGACTTTTCAAACTAACAGGAGAAGCCAAAAGCCTTTGGAAGGGTTTACGGCTAGAGGAGTGGGCTAGTCGGTAACTGCCTTGACCTTGGCAGAATCAGATCTGGTTTGTCCCCTCGCAATCACAAAACTGAGAAAATGAACTGTACCTGCATGAAAATAGCACTTATCTGCTTTAACATAAAGTCTGTCCTCAAAAAGACACTGAAGAACTATATCCTAACATGCTGGACATGTTCCTCTGTAGTGCGAGAAACAATCAGAATGCTTCTTTACTCTGTAAAGGGTGTTCAAAAACTTCTAAAACACATCTCAGTGGGAAAGGAGTGAAGAGACTGACAACACACGGAGTCAAGGTTAGCTAAAGCCATAGCCCAAGCACACACACATTCCCTGATAAACAGAAAGAGAGGATGGAGGCAGAGCAAAAGCACAAACACAAGTCCTGGATTCACAGCCTCAGGTGCTGTTTGCACGCAGATGCTGCAACAGTAAAACGCCTGAGTTGGGTATCGGATTGGCCTTTCGTTCACATGAAGATGGTGTTTCAGAGGGGTGAAAATGCAAGCGTTGAAAAAAAAAAAAAAAAAAAACTGCTGCTCTATTGGCACCTGAATTTCTCCTACGGGGATCAATAATAAAACAAAGGAAAACAAAGAAAAACAGTCTCCAGAGAGGAACAGAACATAATACACTGCACAGCGGGGGGCTGTTTCACAGCTGTGTAAAGAAAAAGGTGAATTCTCTGGCTGCAATGACCTCCCCACTTCCCTGCACAAACATTTGGACATACGTAGTAGCCGAGAACAAACATAAACCTCAATTGCAGCAGGTGAACTGATCCCGCCGTGTGCTTCGAACAGCTACTGTTCAATTCAGAATCATGTTGGTGCATTCTTTCATGTCTTTGCGGCGGCCTGAGGAGGATGCTGTTGAGGAAGTGATTATACCGGTGGGGGTCGCACATATTGTGTTGTGAAGCTCCACTGCTCACTACTGACCGGGAGCTAGAACTACATTGTTTTCCGTTGTCGTTTAGACACCGTCCACTTCAAAAAAGGAGCCTGGTCATTTTTGCCAATTGCTTTGCAGCATCTCCGTCTAAACGGGGCCTCAGTCCTGCAGATCTACAGTCTCTCTGTCAATGGGAGCCAATCCCTCTCTTGATATGGATATTGAGTTTTCCTACTGGGTTTTTGAGTGGTTCCCTGCCGACGGAGGAGGGTCTAAGGATAGTGATGATCTGGAACATTTCTGCACATTTATTACAATTTTTTGACAGCCATTGGTTCCCTCTGTACCAATGTCTCCTATCTGTTTGTTATCATTGCATTTCCTTCGAACTGTTTGATTCTCTAATCTGTCTATTGTGTTTTATTACTGTATTTTACCACGTGACCCCTCCTACAAACGCGCGTCATCTCATTGCATAAGCAAATATATGATCCTTACATAATAGATCCCCAATTACCACACTGACTTTTTCTTTACGCCCCCCTCCCTCTCCTCTCACCTCTCTCCTCTCGCCTCCCTCCTTTCGCCTCCCTCCGTGGATGATGAGCCGTGACCAGTGCCGCTCAGATTAGTGTCTTTGCTCTCCCCGATGCGTGAGACTAGGACTTTGGAGCGCGGAGAGAGGTTCGGAAAGAGGATGAGGATGAGGATAAAGATGATGCTGACGGACCTTCCTACAGTGAGGAGAGCGCTCTGAACTCCACACGCTCCAACTCAGAACATTTTCTCTGGTGGAAAATTTCTGTGCGGACGAGATTGTTCCCAACGCGCGTAACGATGGCCTCCGCGGTTCTCCTGCAGGCGGCGGTGGTGCTCTTCATCGGGGGGGACGGTGTTTGTAGGTGAGACATGGATCTGATCTTTAATTACGTCATCTTGAAGGTAGCATTAAAGCTGCATTGCGTAGTTTTCTTTGGTGGCGTATGTCAGCGTCAGAGGAAAAACATGTAGCACTGGAAGGCGATCAAGGCTCGTATCAGCTTAGACATGTGACATCACCAGGATAATTAACCCCCAACTTTACGTTAGGCGTCATTCCAACACGGTGCTCATTGGGGGCACTTGTTGAGAATGTGTAGGACACAGTGTGAAGGTCCGTTTGAAAAAGCAGCATTTAGGCGGGAGGGGCGGGGGCACTGTGCAGTGGGAGTGTGGGTGGAGCAAAACACAACTCCAAGTCTGATTTTCATGAGAAATAATTTGTAAAAACAATAGATGTGACATACACGGTATGGGAAACACCGAGAAAGCCCTACAGACACAGTCCTACAGACACAGAGACAGTCCTACAGACACAGTCCTACAGACACAGTTCTACAGACACAGACACAGTCCTACTACAGACACAGACACAGTCCTACAGACACAGACACAGTCCTACAGAGACAGTCCTACAGACACAGCCCTACAGACACAGTCCTACAGACACTCATACAGACACAGCCCTACAGACACAGAGACAGTCCTACAGAGACAGTCCTACAGACACAGACACCGCCCTACAGACACAGTCCTACAGACACAGAGACAGTCCTACAGACACAGACACAGTCCTACAGACACAGAGACAGTCCTACAGACACAGCCCTACAGACACAGAGACAGTCCTACAGAGACAGTCCTACAGACACAGTCCTACAGACGCAGAGACAGTCCTCCAGACACAGCCCTACAGACACAGAGACAGTCCTACAGAGACAGTCCTACAGACGCAGAGACAGTCCTACAGACGCAGAGACAGTCCTACAGACACAGAGACAGTCCTACAGACACAGCCCTACAGACACAGAGACAGTCCTACAGAGACAGTCCTACAGACATAGAGACAGTCCTACAGAGACAGTCCTACAGACACAGACACAGTCCTACAGACGCAGAGACAGTCTTACTGTACAGTCTTACAATTTTACATACATTGAGGCAGTCCTAGAGAATCACAGACAGTATTTTGAGATCAATATTGATATCTTTATTGTACCCAGAGGTTGGACTTTGTTACATCCCCCGTCGGAAGCAGGAAGCTAGATCTAATTCTCCATACCTCCTCTTTGTGCTTTTCAAACACATAAGTCTACATTAATCTTCACTGCTTTGTCTGCTCTGTTGTTGATCTACAAAGGTCATAGCTTCACCTCTGTTCTCTGATTGGTAGATTGTACTTCCACGTTCTCGTAGCCATCTGGGTTTCTGATTACATGACGTAGTAACTGGAGTCAAAATAAACTGTCTGGCTAGTGTTAGAGTTTACATTATATTAGAGTTGTTCAGAGACATGCAGGAGTAGAGGAGAGGGCTGAGGACACCTCCCTGTGGAGACACAGATTCAGATTCAGATTCAGATTCATTTATTTGCCATTTGCAGTAAAACCACATTGGAAAAACTGTGCAAGACTACCCCGGTGTGCACCAGACAGAGAAGACGACACACACCAGAGCTCTTGCCACGGCGCCATCTTTACGGCGCCATGCGACAAACAGTAGAATAAACAGCAGAGAGCAATAACATACAGTTTCACAGACAGTTGGATAGACACATTGTGCTTTGTATAAACCACGGATTTTTTTCTCGGGATGAGCACCTCCGACAGCCGGCCCAATGTGGCTGTCAGAGGGGGGCGGGGTCAGGGAGGGGGTGAGTCGGAAACACAATGAGGAGTGGAGGGGAGGGAGGGAGCAAGATGGATAGGTAGAGGGAGGCGGGGGTGAGGGATCCTTGCTGGACTTAACTGAAATAGTGTGAGTTGTTGTAGATGGGACCTTGTTATTATGGCCTTGGCCGAGGAATGTGAGATAAGAGTGGAGAGAAGACACAGGAGGAGAAAAACACATCGCCTCAGGGGGACAATATTAAATGCAATGTAGCAGTCAAAAGCAGGCAGATATTCTATTAAATCCAATTAATCCGAATTGCGGCGCCCTCAGACCTCCGTACACAGGGGCAAATCCATGCCGGTCAGAGAGTTCAAGCCTGGCACACGATGTCATTCAATCTCATCTCCAAAGTTTTATTCCCTTCGAGTGAACGAGCTGCGAGGTCTTTTATCAACTGTTCCACCAAAACCACTCTCCTTTGTCCAGACACGGCACTCTCAACCACGACTCGGCTAAGCTCCTTGTACATCCCATCAATTTTGTCGGCCAGCAGGTCGTGAATCTTGCGAACTGCCATGCCTCCGAATTTGTGGTAGAAGAGAACCGCTCCAAACCCAAACAGGAGGATTCCCACCACCAAAATGCCAAAGATATATACGTCTTCTGAATCTTCAATGGACAGGGTCGACAGACAGAGGGGCTGAAACTTGTTCCAGCTGTCAAGAGTATACCCCGCAGGTGAAGTCCCGTCCGGGCACTCGGGCTCTCCAGACCCACGCTTACGTGTTGAAAAGATAGAATCAATTGCGTTGAGGGACCAGTTAATCATTTCCATTAACAGACACGATCACTGTTGTGAATGAGGTGTTTGCCAATTCTCTCCGTTTGTGGCCTGTTTGTCAGGACATCATAGATCCACTTGCGGAGTTCCAAATAGATACATTTGGAGATTAACTCTTGAGGGATTATGGTGTTGAATCCTGAGCTGTAATCAATAAAAAGCATTCGCACATAATAATTCCCTCTGACCAAGAGCTTGAGGACTATGTATCTGCTCTACAGGGGATTCTGTGGGGTCCAGGTTTGCCATCCTATCTGTCTGTTTTAATCTGTCTGATACCAATATGCCAGATTATAGCGAAAAATGTTAGTTTCCATTTGTCGCCTCCAGACAGGAAGTATAAAAAAAAACAGTGTTAAAGAATGATAATAAAAATAATAATAATAATGATGATAATAATAAAGATGTTGTTTATAACGCCCCTTACAAATGCGAACACATCTCAAGGTGCTACAGCAAGTAGAAATTCTGTTCACTACACTGCTTAAGGTGTCCTGAGATGTTTTCAACAATTAATTAAACACTAATAATACAGTTTTGGAAGCTTTTGTATCTGTACTATTAAACACAGTGCAACCACTCCTTAAACAAAAGTGCTGCTTTCTTTAAACACTTAGACACACATGAAAACATTACCCACACTACAAAACGTGTCACCAGTCAGTCATTGGGGAAACCTTTGTTGAGTGATGCATTGAGCTTCACAGAAAGCTAACGGGTAAATTTGGTATAAAAACAGTGAAACTGTGACAATGTATTTGTATGATGCAAGTCTGTATCATTATGTCATCTGAGTTTCATTTTGACAAAGGAATGTAAAGTTAAGGATTTTATAGTAGTGTTTCAATGTGAAACAGTGTTGTGTCATGTTTACTTGTGTGTAGAGTTTTGGCACAATGAGTGACTTTTTGTAAAATGTCTTCAAGCAATTTGTAAAAACTGTAATAACAACTTAAAAATGTTGGTGGACGTCACCTCTTTTTCTTGGGTTGCCAGTCGGTGCATCCTTCTCTAGGGTTGCGGTTCGGTTCAAGAAACAAATGTGTTATCACTTTTCCCTCCTGCCGTCTTTTTTAAAATGGCCGCTAGTGGCCCCTCCTACAGGAAAATGTGAAAAAATGCATTCGCGCATGCGTTAACCGGCACAAGCCCCATTCATTTAACAAGTGCATTCAAAAGTCCACAGCGGCTAAAATAGGCTGGTCCAAAAAAATACAGTCCCCTCAGAATTGACACACATCTGGAACCTAGCGTTGAGCCAAGCACCGACATTTCGAGAGCACAAGGCGGCATTAGAATGCACTGGATAATTCTGTTTCCTGGTTTGCCACTGCCAGCATACATGCTCATGGACCATTTTGACCCGGGACCCGCGCCCATAGGTATGTGTGTGTGAGTGTGTGTTGGAAACAGCAGATAATAAGACGTTTCCGTGTAATTTGAAAGAGCAAAGGAAACAAAAAAAGAAATAGTCAACAAATGGAAGAAGGCAAAATGACTATCTTTAACCTCCTCAATTCTCCACTAAGAAAATTATGTTTATTTCCAATGTTGGTAGAATTTTATCGCCTCCTGATTGTCTCTACATTTTGGAGCCTGCAGCAAAGGATCTGTTCAAACTTCAAGTCGACTGGTTTGTGACAATATGACTATAGTGTTTCACATACGCAGACCTGGAGTAGCTTCTATCTCCACCCATGCTTCTATCAGGAACTTGTATTCTGATGCTTTTGTGTCAACAAGGCAAGGCAAGGCAAGGCAAGGCATGTTTATTTGTATAGCACAATTCATACACAAGGCAACTCAAAGTGCTGAACAAGATAGCATTAAAATCATAAATAATCACAGAACATTAAAAAGAAAGATAAAAATATAAAATCCCTCAGTTGTATGCACAGCTAAACAGCACCGTTTTTAACTTGGTTTTAAACATAGTCAGAGAGGAGGCCTGTCTCACATCTTCAGGAAGAATGTTCCAGATTTTAGCAGCATGAATCTGAAAAGCAGCCTCCCCATGTTTAGTTCTGACTCTGGGCACTAACAGGAGTCCAGTCCCTGTGCTCCTCAGAGTCCGGGCTGGTTCATATGGGACTAACATGTCACTAATATATTTTGGTGCGAGGCCATGGAGAGACTTGTACACAAGCAAAGCTGTTTTAAAGTCTATTCTCTGAGCCACAGGAAGCCAGTGCAGAGACCTGAGGACCGGACTAATATGGTCGTACTTCCTGGTTCTAGTCAGGACTCGAGCTGCTGCATTTTGAATGTACTGCAGCTGTTTTACAGCCTGTTTGGACAGACCTGTGAGCAGGCCATTGCAGTAGTCTAACCTACTGGAGACAAATGCATGGATAAGAATCTCCAAGTCTGCTTTAGACACTATGTTTTTGATCCTGGAAATGTTTTTTA